AGTTTGCATGCTTGTACCTGAACTGTGGCAATGGGACGGAGTTTGCAAGACATCAGAGGTTGCGAGCGTGGCACTTTGCTGGGTCTGAGCCAGAGTCAGTAGTGTCCCAGTTGGTGGGACTGAGGCAGAGGGTGGGAGTGGGGCAGAGGGTGGGAGTGGGGCGGAGGGTGGGAGTGGGGCGGAGTGTGGGAGTGAGCTTGAGGGTGGGAGTGAGCCGGAGGGTGGGAGTGAGCCGGAGGGTGGGAGTGAGCCAGAGGGTGGGAGTGGGGCGGAGGATGGGAGTGAGCCGGAGGGTGGGAGTGGGGTGGAGGATGGGAGTGAGCCAGAGGGTGGGAGTGGGGCGGAGGATGGGAGTGGGGCGGAGGATGGGCGTGGGGCGGAGGATGGGCGTGGGGCGGAGGGCTGAACTGAGGACCCTCAAAGATCAGCTTAGGAAATGCGCTTTAGTGGTCACTACAAGCATGCAAGTTCTCAGGCGTGGATTTGAAAGGAGTCAGGAAGCGGCCACAAGACAGGCAGGCAGTCGTCCGCAGGCTGGCGTCCATGGGGACGGGGCCCCACCCCGGGAGGTGGCGAACGCCCCGTGGGCAGGAGCAGGCAGGAATCGGCTAGCACTTTCTGTGAGGGACCAGGTAGTAAACACGTTCAGCGCTCTGGGTCTGTCTCCAGCTGGGCTTTGTTACTGCTCAGCTCTGCCACTGCAGTGGGAAAGCAACCACTGACAACAGTACGGACGGGTGTGGCCACGTTTGATCCAAGTAATGTAGCTGGCCGATCTCTGATAGGAGGGATGAAACAGTCAGGTTTATATTAACAGTCAGAGTGAAACTGAACATTAGGTGTAGATCGGTAACTCTAAGCAAGAGTTCATCCCACCCAATCAAAGATGCTGGGAGCTACTGAACACCCAGCACCGCCTCATTACACCTGCTGCAGCTCTCCTGGGCAGGGAGCTCCAGTGACCCGCTGGCCGTGCAGCTGGCCCTCTGCTGAGTGGGCTCCTCGCTGGGGTCATGCGGCTGATGAAAACAGCACATAGAAATCTCCGTGGGCACCAGGGGAAAAGGCCCAGGTTTCGACAGTCCCACTGCAGCGTGAAACATGAGTGAATGACTCGAGCGGGTCCTGGAAGTGAGGCCGGAGGGCCCAGTCCCTTCTGAATGACTCGGTTTTCCAGGGAGTGAGAAAAGGATGCCAGGGGGGTACTAAGTCGAGCTTCAGGCCGACGGGGGTGGGCCGTGCATGTCAGGAGCTAAGCAGAGCATCAGCAGCGTGGTCTCTGTTCAAAGTGGGTGGTTTCCTTATGTGGATACCTGCTGGAGTGTGCTGTTTAAAACAACAAAAAAAAAGGTTATGGAAGCGCATTATTCATAATACTGCATCTATATATACCAGTGCCCAACATATGCGCATTCCTCTATGTGTTTATATATCCACTTTGTCGCTCGTTTGTTTTCCTTTTACTGCAAATACATTATGTCTCCCATTTTTGTTTTCTAAGTTAGCACAGAGCTCTGTGTGTTGATGTTAAGGGTAATTTTAGCTTTACATTTGGTGAGGCCCGCCAGCACTGCGCTGGGGATGACCCAGGTTGTCATCCAAGGAGCTGGCAAGGAGAGGCAGTGATTGCGGGAGTTTTCAGGGGAGGCAAAGGCCAGGGTTTGGGTTGTGTGTCTTTGAGTTTATTTTATATCATTTGGAAGTCTGTTTATTCGTTTGTTTGCCTCTCTTTTCTTTTGAACAGTTTGCCTCATTTCACAAAGATGTTTTCGAAGTGGGCAGTTCTGTAGGGCGAGCACCCTTGTTCAGAGGCGTTAGGTGGAGCTGGTCACTGAGGGAAGACCCCGCTTGGTTCCTCGGCCCTTCCCCCACAGGGCATCGTCCTCCAGCTTCCTGCCAGGTGGCCGTGTCAGAGCCGCAGAGCCGAAGCCGTTCCTCTCCTTTCACACCTCCAAGGCATTTTCTCCATCTTTTGCCGCAGCTTGGGCCCATCTTTCCTCCGCCTCTTTGAGCTCCCCAAAGCTCCCAAAGCAATGTGTCCAGGGCTGTGCATACCATAGGCGTATGAGATGCATTGGGAGTGAGTGAAAAGATTTTGAGCTGAGTGTGCAAATGGATGTGTGACTGATAAGACAAATATGAAGCTGGATTGTAAACATAGTAGAATGGATTCCAAGCCTGGATCCCAAGTCCTCCACCAGCCTTTTATCCTTTAAGGGGTTCAATGCCAGGGGAACTGAACTTGGAAAAATACGAAGCAGATGAGAAATGAACTACTGTCCCATGACCCATTTGTCTGTGTTGGGCTTTTCTGTTGTACCAAAACGGAGCCCATCACGGAGACTGGAATCCAGTAAGAGTTCTCTCTCTCTTTCCTGCATCTGAGCCAGTGAGGTCGTGAGCTTCAAAACCAGGGCTGCTCCCTGAGCTGAAGTGGGACCGAGAGTCCCTTCCCTGGGGCAGCACCGCAGGCAGTGAGAAGCCAGGTGGTGTGCTCGTCCCTACCCCACACTGGCCTGACTCGATTCACACCAGCAAGCAAGGGCAGTGGGGGAGGGACAGGAGCTATAACAAGAGAGAATTGGAGAACCCATGATGTGGATTTCTGTGCATGAGAGGGCAAAGACGCTTGAGATTTTCCTTTAGTAAAAATGAGAATGAAAGCAGTTGTGCTGGTGAGAAAAATAACCTATAAATTATGCCTGAATAACTTCCCAAATAAATATAAATCATACAATTACATAAAATCATTTAACTTTCATTATGTTAATGTTAATAAATTTTAATTTTCAGGTGTACATGCCTAAAGGCCTGAGGCTCTTAAAGACGATAATCAAAAAGCTCATTAATCACAAATAGGCAACTTTCCCAAATAACTAGGAACAGTCACAATTAAAAAATAATATCTGCTCCACCAAGTAGAGTAAAAACACAGGCGTCAGGAGGAAGCTTCATTTTAAGCCATCCAGTGAAGGAGAAGAGTCTCATTTCCTAAACCAGGTCATGTTTCTAAACATATGTGGGGCAAGACTGAGGTCAGGGTCCTTTTAGAAATGTTTGGGCCTAAATGGGCCTGTCCTCTGTCTACCTCATTAAATTTGGCCTCCTCAGGCCCTTGAATCTTGACTCATGCATCTGTTATTTTAACTGTTTTTTCCAGATTCCCGAGATTTAGAAGTCAGAGAAAGCTTTCTTTCCTCCAAGCTCTCGCTGAGAACCCTGAATGCAATAGGGAGAGGTTCAGGATCCTGACTGGTGATACAGGAGTCATCTCTTTCTATATGCGTGTTCATTATCAGAACTGTTTGCTATTTCGATTCGACAAGTTTCAGGCCATCTCAGTGAACTGTTGCACCTCTTTCCTCTTTAGTGCTTCATGAGAGACTAGCTAAATGCTGAGCTACAGGCAGAAAGTGTTGCATCTATAGCATCATTCAGCTTAGCTACACAGCTGTGAATGGGATGTTAGCACTCCTTTAGTTTCCATAGTAAGGAACCCAGCTAAAGCCGAAAAGTCGATTTCAGTTGCTCTCATAAATGGGAGGTCCACAGAGTGGGCTGGCTTCTGATACAGCTGGATCCAGGTCACACAGAGCTAGCCAGAGACAGAGCCAGGCCTGGAATTTACTCCTGATGATCTGTCTCCCAAGACAATTCTGTTTCTGTTGTAGGGTGCTACCTTTCTACTATCTGGGTCACTATTAGCCTAGTGATAAGTAAAATGAAAGGAGGGTGTGTCTCCTCCTTGAAGTCACTCTCACAATTTACTATGATTTTACCTCTGGGTACTTGCACAGTTCATGTTCCTGAAGGAAACTACCCAAGGATTTTGGGCTCCTTCATGCAGGAGCACATCACTGCTTTCTACCTATTTACGTTCCACTTTGTGTCCTGAGCTAAGGTAGTTGATTTGTGAACTCATTCGTTAGCATTACCTAGGTTCAGTGCTGGGCTCGGTATTGCAATGCAGACCCAATAAAGGCACTGACAATTGGAGTTAACGGACAGTTAGAACAGAAGGCCAGTTAGTAGGTGCTACAGACTTGGATCCTCTCAGTTGTTCATTCTTTTTAGCATCTGATAGGTGACAGTACGGAGTGCGTATCCAGAAGCATGGTAAGCATAGTAGGGGCCGTAAAACAGTTGAACCCTGCGTCCCTTATTGGAGTGCTGGGTTTGATGCTGGTCTCTACTCCTGACTGCGGCTTCCTGCCAGTGCAGTCCCTGGGAGCAGCAGTGGCTGAGTCCCTGCCGTGCTGGTGGGAGACGGGGGGCTGTTGTGGATATTTGAGGAGTGAACCAGAAGACGGGAGCGCTCTCCATCTCTGCTCACTCACTCCCCCAACCCAAGTAATTTTTAAAATTTTTTTAAAGATAGAACATATGAGGGCAACTAGGGGAGCAGAAGGGGAGAGGTAGGCAGACTCGGGGACACTGCGGGGACCCTTGAAGGGTTTGAGGGAAGAAAGCGCTGTGGTCTGATTTCCATTCTAGGTGCTCCAGTTGTAGCTTTGTAGATTGGGGTGGAGATAGGGGGTGTGCAGACTGGAAAACCAGATTGGAGCTGAGGGGATGTTTCCTGGGGAGAGACAGCAGCCATGGGGATGGAGAGAAGCTGGATTCAAGAGAGAATCCAGGCCGGCACCGCGGCTCACTAGGCTAATCCTCTGCCTGCGGCGCCGGCACACCGGGTTCTAGTCCCGGTCAGGGCGCCGGATTCTGTCCCGGTTGCCCCTCTTCCAGGCCAGCTCTCTGCTGTGGCCCGGGAGTGCAGTGGAGGATGGCCCAGGTGCTTGGGCCCTGCACCCCATGGGAGACCAGGATAAGTACCTGGCTCCTGCCATCGGATCAGCGCAGTGCGCCGGCTGCGGCGGCCATTGGAGGGTGAACCAACGGCAAAGGAAGACCTTTCTCTCTGTCTCTCTCTCTCACTGTCCACTCTACCTGTCAAAAATAAACAAATAAATAAATAAAAAAGAGAGAATCCAAAGTCAAAATCAGCAAGACTTGGAGACTCCTTTGGGGGAGCGGACAGTCCCGACGAGGCATCTGCGTGAATGGCGAGATCATCAACGGATATCTCAGCTCTGGGGAGAGGAGCTGGGTTTGGACTGTGTTGTGTTCCTCTTACTTCCTGGAGCAGCACGGGGATTGGGGAAGGATTCGTCCTGACCCAGAAGGCCGTGGAAGGCCTCCCTGGGGAGGTGATACTTAGCCCAAGACGGAAGGGATGATGGAGTAGAAGTTAGTAGTCAGTTTCTGGGTGACTCTGAAACTCCGTCTAGGGCACACAGCTTTTGTGATCTGGGTGGCGCTTCCAACGCCCTTGACTCTGCCTCTTGGCCTCTGTTCCTGTGCTTTAGGGAGGCGGTGGGTGGGAATCGTCATGGTCACTGTTTATTCAGTAGTTTGCATCCTCAACCACAGAGAAGGAATGCTGCGTGCTCAGGGCTGTGGTTAAGGTGACACTGAGGCCCTATTTCCCAGGGTAGGGAAGGTCTTCCACACTGTTGCAAATTCTGAATGTTCTAGAAAAAATGGTTTTATTAGGTACATTTTAGATTTTCCTTTGTAATCCATTGATTGGATCAAAATGTGCCATTTAACCCCTGAGGGCACTTATAGAAAAACACAGAACCCAGTAAAGTAGGAAGAAAATAGAAAATTAATATAAAAATCATGACAAGAAAACATGCAAGGTAAAGGGAACGTAGGAATATCCCAGGTCTTTTGTGTTCTTTTCTTTTTTTTTTTTAATATTGTGTATTGCAGAGTCACAAATATTTAAACTCTTAAACTAACGTGATCTGCCAGCCATCCAGCTAAAGCAAGTGTGTGGATTATAATGAAATATTTTCCAACCAAGTACACATCTCTAATGGGGGGAAATGAGCTGTAAATGAACATGAAAAAGAGAATTCATAGTCGTCTCGGGGATGCGGGTCGCCCTATCTTACATTGCTGTTCTACAGTAGCAATTGAGGGGTTGCCAGATTTCATCTGCTGCCTGGAGAGAACTGGCTCCACTTAGAAGTCTACACGTCTACGAAAAGCTGTTCTAAATGTCTCAAAGTTTTTCTGTGTGAATTTAAAATTTGGATAACCTGGGTTCCGGGAGTTGACCCCCACGATGGCTGCCACTGTCCTTGCTGGAACTTAACCCTGCTTTCAGCTTGTGAAGTGACTTGCTGTGAGCGGCTGTAGCTACTGAAGCATATTTTTGGTGAAGCTGACACGAGTTCTAACTCTTTCCAGTGGTCCCGATACAGCCTTGTGCTGACCTCCGTAGATGTGTAGTCATGAGGTTCAAATGGTATATTGTCAGTCCTCCCCTGAATGACGTCCGCTGCTTTTAATTAGGGATGTGTTCTGATGTGTGTGTATGTGGGGCACTGATTTGCAAACAGTAAAATTTAAAGAGGTTCATCTGATGGTAGTAACAATTCTTCTGTAGTTTCAAAAATAAGAATACACAGTAGTGCTACTCACAGATGATAAATGAAGCCTACTTGAAGTTCTGTGTCCTCGTCCATACAATTTCCTCAGGAGGGAAAGCCTCATGGGAAAGAAAATTCTAGGCCCTGGAGCCAGGCAGGGACTATATTATAGCCGTTTAATGGAACCGGGCCACTTTCAGGAAAAGATAATTGGTGCTAGAAACAGGATTCAGCGTTTGATTTTATCTGTGTGTTGTCTACATTGACAATTTTCCAAGATTCTTACCAGATTTTATACCTTCTATGCGTTAAATTTAATGTGTAGCTTAGCATGTCATTTTAAAATAAAAATAGCAGAAAAATATTTGAAAGCAGATTGTACTGAGTGACTTAGAGTCCTATTAATTACGTTTGGCACAGTGCTCGGCTTCTAGGCTCACGGCCTTACGTATGCAATTTCATTTGCTGTCTGTGTCGGGTAATTAAGCGTGAGCCTCTCCGTCTCAGCCACTTAGCGCGAGGGAAGCTTCAGTCTTGCTCTTGCAAATGAGTCAGCAGGGCCAGGGACCGCTCCCTCTGGTGCTCAGCACTGCAGACCCTCCGGCCTGCAACACTGCAATCCCCGTCCAGGTTCTGGCCTCAGGAGAGAGAAGCAAGGAGGTGTCCCACCGCTCTGTCACTTTTCACTTGTATTTCACTGGACAGCACTAGTCACGTGGTCCTTTGGGAATGCAGAAAGACTGGTAAGTGGACCAGAAAGGCCAGCACACAGAGAATCTGTTGACCAAGTGCTTGGGCCCCTGCCACCCGTGTGGGAGACCTTGTGCAGTTCGGAGTTCCTGGCTTCAGCCTGGACCTACCCTGGCCATTGCAGCCATTTAGGAACCAGGGGATAGAAAATCGATCTCTCTCCTTCTCCCTATGCCTGTCATTCTGCTTTTCAAATAAATAAATCTTTGCAAAACAAAACAACACCAACGAATGTTCTCAGCGCTACACATTATCTGTAAGTTTTTTAAAGAAATACTCATTTACTAGAGAAACAGCTCCATTCACTGATTGACTCCCTCAATGCCTGCAGTGGCTGGGACCGGGCCTGGCCAATGCCAGGAGCCAAGAACTCCGTGCAGGTGGCAGAACCCAGTTGTTCTGCCTCCCAGGGTCTGAACCAGCAGAGGCTGGAATCAGGGGCTGGAGCTGGTTGCTGAGCCCAGCTACTCTGGTAAGGGAGGGGGCATCTTAACCAGAATCTTAACTACAAGGTTACACACCACCCCTCTAATTTGTACATGGATTTTTTTTTTTAAAAAAGATTTATCTATTTATTAGAAAGGCAGAGCTACAGAGAAAGAGAGAGAGAGACAGAGACACAGCGAGACAGAGAGATGGATAGACAGATCTTCAGTCCGTGGGTTTACTCCCCAAATGGCTGCAAGGCCGAAGCTGATCAAAGCCAGGGGCCAGGAGCTTCTTCTGGGTCTCCCATGTGGCTGTGCTTCCTCCGCTTTCCAAGGCACATTAGCAGGGAGCTGGGTTAGAAGTGGAGCAGCTGGAACCTGTGCCTGTACGGGATCCCAGAGCCGCAGGCAGCATGTTTATCTGCTAAGCCACAGGGCCAGCCCCCACGTGGATTTTAATTACAAGTATTATTTGGTCCATTGTGGGGAGCAACTCGGACTAGACTAAGTTACTGGAATTAAGACTTATTCTATGCATCTGCTCTCCCACAATATGGCGCTGGGAGAGAAGAAAACAGCTTCTACACAGCTGCCTCCAGTTCAGCCAATAAACTGTAGGACTTGCTCCTGATTGGAGGAGAGCAGCGTACTCGGCATGTGGGCAGCCGAATTGGGATTGGCGGAGGAGGACTATAAAGGAGGAGAGAGACGGCATGCACCAGGAACATCTAAGGGGAACATCTAAGGGGAACGCCTGTGCAGCCCCCGAGAGAGCCGGCCGGCGGTGTGCCGCTCCCCTGCGGAAGTGGGGAAAGTGGCCAGGGGGAACTGCACTTCCACGGAGGTGGAAGGGACAGTAGCCAACCCGGGAAGAACCAGCAGCAAACCCGGGGAGGGCCGAGCAGACGAAAGAACAGCGCAGGGTCCTGTGTCGTTCCTCCACGAAGACGGGGAGCGACATAATGGTGCCGTGACTCGGATATGAAGCCTAGGCAGGGTTTAGTGTCGTTCCTCCATGAAGAGGTGGAGCGACAGTCCATGTGTAACTGAGTGGTGTAACAAACGCTATAGAGACTGGACACCTGATTATGGTGTTATTCTATGTAAGTAGCTTTTGTATTTTTCACTTAAACTCTCGCCTATCATTTGTAAGAAAAATGTATTATGCAGAAGGTTCTTCATAACTATATAACTACATAGCTTCTTAACTACAATTTGAATTTCTTTATCCTACTCAGGCTTATGATGTTGCCATAAGTGGACTCTGCATTGAAAGAGAACCTACCGAAAAAAAGTGTGTATGTTTGCAAAATAGCTACTCAGGATTTAATTAGTCAAGGACAGAATATGTTCACTCAGGAACCCAGAATATAATTGTCCAACTCTGATTTTCAGGTTCATTTTCTACTATGAATCTTTGGAATTCAATGAAGATTTATTTGTTTACTGCTCTCTGCAAGATACTTGTGGTAGATCGGGTAGGATTTTGTTGTGGAGAACAAGAATTGTAGTGTTAGACACGGAAATGGAGACAGATGACTTCTCTGTGCCTTGGGAAGTCCCGAGGTGACAGAATGCACAAGCCGGAGTGCAGCCAGAGTGTACTGGGCACAGTCTGGGGGTTGGGCAGGACCCTCTAAGCTGGATTGCAAAGAATGCATGGAACGGGGAAACAGAGCAAGCATTTTATCAGGGCCAGGGCTGCACTGTCTACTGCTGTGTGACTGCGGGGCACTTGAAATATAACAGGTTCAAATTGTGATTCCCATTAAGTATAAAATGTGCACTTCATTTCAATGACCTTAGTTCTAGAAAGTATTGTAATATATCATTTATGATTTGGATGTCAATTGATAAAGTTCATTCCACTTGTTTCTTTCCTTTTTTTTTTTTTTTTTTTTTTGACAGTGGACAGTGAGAGAGAGAGACAGAGAGAAAGGTCTTCCTTGGCCGTTGGTTCACCCTCCAATGGCCGCCATGGCCAGCACACTGCGGCCGGCGCACCGCGCTGATCCGAAGCCAGGAGCCAGGTACTTCTCCTGGCCTCCCATGGGGTGCAGGGCCCAAGCACTTGGGCCATCCTCCACTGCACTCCCTGGCCACAGCAGAGAGCTGGCCTGGAAGAGGGGCAACCGGGACAGAATCCGGTGTCCCGACCAGGACTAGAACCCGGTGTGGCAGCGCCGCAGGTGGAGGATTAGCCTAGTGAGCCGCGGCGCCGGCCGTTTCTTTCCATTATTTTTAACATGGCTTCTGTTGTGCCTCACAATCTGCTTCTGTCGGACGGGACTGGGCGGGGCCGTAACTTGTGAAGGAAGGCACAGCCCTGGTGGTGGGGCAGAGGGTCCCAGAAATCATGCCATGCAGAGTCTACGTGTCTCAGTCCTCGGGCTTTTAAACTGGAGAATTTTGCACTGGGAGTCAGCCAACTCCTGTTGCCTTTTAGTTAGATGTGGGCTGTGGGGATGGTGGTGTGCCAGGCTCTGGGGTGGACGGTGCTGTTGCTGGGTGCAGTAAGAACCAGGGGAACAGACATGAAGGGTCACCTAAGGGCCATGACACTAACTATGGCAACAGGAGTTGGGGTTTCAAACCAGGAGGATGACAGGTGAGCAGTAGTGTCACAAACTGGGATTTTAGGTTCTCAAGAAGGAGGCTGTCTGTGTGCTGGGGTGGGTGACCCTGACTTCAGTTTTGCAAGCGTTGATGTGACTTGGTTATAGCATAAAAAAGCATTTAGCATAGATGAATCTGAAACTCTGCAAAGAGATGAGAAGCAGTGAAATGCACTTTGATTTGGAAGTAATCAGGGATGGCTACACTAGTGAGATTCCTTGTAATACGCTAGAGAGAATGGAGGGACCTGCAGGAAGCAGTCATGGTCACCTGCGAGAAAGCAACCTTTGCAGTTATTTGACTAATTGATCCTGTATAAATAAAACTGTGTCTATAACGGATTCCATCAAAGCTCACAAATTTTTATAATTAATGTTAAAAGTTTGTGTTTCTGCTAAGAGTAATGTATTAGTATCAAGCAAGAAATTATATTTTTGATCCTTCTTAATTGCTATATATTTATAACTGATAATTCCAAATCTACTCCTAATTTTGTGAATACAAGTAACAAATTAATTCTTAGTAACATCTCGGAATTTCTGAAGCAAGCAGGAGCTTGGTAGTAGTTGTGAAATCAGCTCTTGAAATTTTGCTGGAACGATGTTCACCATATATTAACTGTTTTTGCACAAAATAAAAGTGACTATTTTATGCTAAAATTTTTTTATCTCTAAAATGCTGATGTAATACTTGATATGGTTCATTACATCCTAAATTCTCCATCAAGTGGACAATTAAAAGGGGAGAATGTGGCCAAAAGCTGTGAAATGTGGGTGACCAGGCTGTTTTTGAATCAGCGAGAAGTTCCTGGCACAGTCAGGTGGCATGGGTGTGCCATGGTTAATCCAAACAAAAGGACAGTGTCAGAGCGGCCAGCTTCCTCTAACAAGGGCTGGAGGAGGCAGCTTGGGTCTGGCAACTTAGGACACCTGTCACATTTGTGAAAATAACTTTAATAGAACAGTGTGGCAGAAGCCAGACTGCAGTTAAATGTAATCACTGACAGGAGTAAATGAGAGTTGAAGAAGTGGAAACAACGAGTGTAGACGGCTCTCTCAGGAAGCTCTTCCGGAAGACAAGGGAAATAAGCCAGAAGGGCCCAGTGAGGAGGAGCTTGTCTTGATGGGAGAGAGCTTCATGCATGGTGCTTGTCTGAAGAAAGGGACCCTGATGCTGGAGTGGGGTGGTCAGCATTTCTCCCTCTTGACCCAACACAGACTGTGCCAGGAGCCCCTGCTGCACCCTCCTTCAGCACTTGAGGATTATAATTTTAGTTCAAAGGTAAATATGTTGGGCTGATTATTTTAAAACCATATTCTAAGAATGTTACTATTTCTAGGTCTATAAGGCGTGAATGCAAGCATTTTTTTAAACTGTTTATTTTTATAATTTATTCTTGTTTATTTGAAAGGCAGAGAGAAATCTTTTATCCACCGTTTCAGTCTCCAGCTGACCCCAACAGTCAGGGCTGGACCAGGCCAAAACCAGGATCTCGGAGCTCTGCTCGGGTATCTCATGTGGGTAGCAGGGACCCAAACACTGAAGCCATCTGCTGCCCCAGGATGTGCCTTAGCAGGAAGCTGGATCAGAAGCAAGGGTGACTGCAACCCTGACAGTTCTGAGAGGGGACCTGCATGTGCCAAGCAGCAGGGGCTTTACCCTCGGTGCCACAATGCTTTCCTTGAATGCAGGCACTTAAGAAGCTGTGGGGGCTGGCGTTGTGGCATAGCAGCTTAAGCCTTTGTCTGCAGTGCCAGAATCCCATTTGGGTCCCGGTTCAAGTCCTGGCTCCTCCACTTCCGATCCAGCTCCCTTCTAATGTGCCTGGGAAAGCAGTGGAGGATGGCCCAAACGCTTGGGCCCCTGCACGCATGTGGAAGACCTGGAAGAAGCTCCTGGCTCCTGATTTCAGCCTGGCCCAGTCCCAGCCTTTGCAGCCATTTGGGGAGTGAACCAGCAGATGACAGATCTCTCTCTGTCTCTCCTCTTCTCTCTAACTCTGCCTTTCAAGTAAATAATATATATATATGTGTGTGTGTGTGTGTGTGTATGATATATATATGTGTGTGTGTACATACATACATATATATATATTCTTCAAGAAAAAAGGCAGAGACTGTGGTTACAGCTGGTATCTACATATTCACCTTTTCCATCTTGATGCTGGCTCTTTCTGGAAATGGCCACGTTCAGTTCAAAGTTACCAGGTTGAAAGTAGCTTTGTCTGGCTTTTTTTTTTTTTTGTGGGAATTTTTAAAAAAGATTTATTTACTTATTTGAAAGTCAGTTATAGAGAAAGAGAGAGAGAGAGAGATCTTCCATCCGCTGGTTCACTCAGCAGACAGGACACCTGTCACATTTGTGAAAGTAATTTTAATAGGATGCTGTGGCAGAAGCCAGACTGCAGTTAAATGTAATTATTGACTGAGGAGTTAATGAGAGTTGAGGAAGTTGCAATGGCCAGAGCTGCACCGATCCAAAGCCAGGAGCCAGGAGATTCTTCCCAGTCTCCCACGCAGGTGCAGGGGCCCAAGGACCTGAGCCATCTTCCACTGCTTTCCCAGGCCGTAGCAGAGAGCTGGATTGGAAGTGGAGCAGCCAGGACTTGAACCGGTGCCCATATGGGATGCCAGCACTGCTGGCGGCTGCTTTAACCACTACGCCACAGTGCTGGCCTCTTGTCTGGCTTTCTTAGACTGAACTTTCACGGTTACTTCTTGTATCTGGCAGTGTATAAAGAACTGGACCTGTCTTGTTCTTGGCTTTCCAGGGTACATTTTAAAAAATTATTAATGAAAAACATCAAGCATCCCACAAAATATAGACCATAAGATGACACCCTGTTCACCTCACCAGCTTGAGCACAAACACATGACAGCTACAGGGAGGCCAGCTGTGTAGAGCTCCTTGCCCCGGGCAGCAAGGCAGGGCCGTCCTGTTTGTTTATTTTCTTGCCAGCACTTTTCATTGTCAAACTGAACCTTTGCCAACCTGATGAATGAAAAATGATGAAGCCATATTTTTCAAATTATCCGTGGAGTTCCTGGGAATAGGTAACAGCGTGAAAGATAGGTTGAAAAATGAAAGCCCCAAGGAGGAAGTAAAAATATGGATTTTAAATTTATGATTCATTTATTAAAATGGAAAATGAGCGGATATTGACACATATGCATGTTAGCAAATCAAGAAGTCCTGTGTGTGCTGTTGGTTTTGGCTGGTTGTTGAATGATAGATCTGTCTGCCACTCCTGAAGGAGTGAGGATGGGCTCCTTTGGGGGTTGACACATGAGAGCCACAGCTCTGAATCCTGCCTCTTTCCTTAAAGACACACTGAAGATCACCCCTGGGGCTGGCCGGCTGGCACAGTGGCTAAAGCCACCACCTGCAATGCTAGCACCCCACATGGG